CTCCGCCGGGAGGCGGCCGCGCTGCATGGGGGCGGGGGCCGGCCGCCATGGAGGGTGTGCTGTACAAGTGGACCAACTACCTGAGTGGTGAGTTGCTGCCAGTCCTCAGCCTCTGCGCGGAGCGGGCTTCCCTAGCGGGGCGGGTCGCATTATCGTCTTCTGTACAGAGATAGAGATATATATATGTATAGATATATATGTATTCGCTGAGTCTGGGTCAGCGCTGCCCCCTGACCCTGCCGTGCAGGGGACCAGCTCCGGCTCACCCTGGTTTTCCAGCTGTGCTGTCACACCTTGTCACCCGTCCAGCGCTGGAGGAGGTGTTTAACCCACTTGTGGGTGCCAGCGCTCGTCTGGGGTGTCCCTTGCCCTCCCTGGGGTTGTGGGTCGGAGTTTGGGATTATTTTGGGTGTGTTAGGTCCTACTCGCCAGCGAACTTCCCCGTTCCGTACGGCCCTGTGAAACTTTTACTGAGTCGCTTCGTGGAGTCAGGGCAATCCCAGGCCTGGGAGGAAGAGGTGTCACCATTAAATGACCCTCGGGGTAGTTGGATGAAAATGCATGCAAAAAAAAGAAGGAAAAAAAAAAGGGGGGGGGACGGGACAGGGACAGGGGACAACGATGACTGTCCTGCTAGTGCTAGGCCCAGAATTTAATTTTTTGGTGCTCCCGTGTTGTGGGAGGTTTGACTTTCGTAGCAGACTGGGAGCAGCCGTGCGTGGCCAGGGTTTGCTCAGCGGAGGTTAAAGGTGGTGGGGTCAGAAACTCTGCGGGGGCGGGGAGGGTCCGGTGCCACCCGTGTTCCTGGGGGTGTTCCTGGGGGGCGACCACCGCCTGACACGTTGGAGTCCGGGGTGGCTTGTCATTTGGGGTGCATGGATGGGGTCTTGCCTGGTGCAAACCTCTCCCTCGTTTGTTGAAACAATTTGAAAATGTGATGGTCAGAGAAAAACAACCACGACCTTGACATTGCCAGGTGCAAGTTTTGCTGGGGAGTGCCGGCAGGAGGGCTGCCTTCCTGCTTGAATTTTTTTCAGAGAGGCTGGAACAGCTGCACCTCTCTGGTTACTTGGGAAAGTGTGGGAAATCAAAATTAAACAAAGAAAAAGCTGAAGCACAAGCAAGTAATGAATTCATGTGGCAGGGGGATGGGGGGGAGTGGTGCATGAAGCTGGCTTTATTTGTGTGCAGGAAGATTGCTGCGGCTTTTCCCCTTTAGGCAATAGGTGTTCTGAGAGGGGAATCAAAAATTCTCAGGTCTCAGTGAATAGGCATGGATTTATTTATTACTTTTTTTAATTACTTGTGAATGCTCTTGGATTATGGAGTGTGTGGCAGTAGGAGCAGCCATGCTTGGCTTTTGCATTTGCATACCAAAACTCAGGCAGTGTTATTAGTCTTTTCCCCATAATAAAAATATACATGGTTCAGTCAATCTAAAGTTTTCTGTGTTTGTTTTTCTTTGCATTGCTTAGATGCCGGGGTGTATTTGGAACCCTTGTGCTTGCTTCTGCGCTGTGAGATGTGGGGAGAGAGTGTCTGTGGGAACCAGTGTGTGTGTAGATGACTGACTGGCGTTTGGCATTGTAGCATTTGTGCCTGAGTGTGCATGTGGTAGGATCAGCTGGACTTGTCTTCTGTTTTGATGGTAAAATGAAGACTAAGAACCAGAAATATTCCAGTTCCATCAAAATTAATTAATTTTTTTTTCTATCCACACTGATATGCACTTTCAACCAAATGACCCTTCATGAAGAAGGATGACACTTTGCAAACCTCAAGTCTAAGTGAATGCAGACTGAAGGAATCTCTTTTCCTTGGATGTGTGAGATCGGCCCCAGCTGAAAATTAGATGACTTTTTGTTCTCAATAGAGAGAAAATCAGTGATGGAGGATTGAAGCATCTCTCTGATTTCTTTGCTGAAACTTGAGTCTGCTAGTAAGTGTGGTGGTCAAGGTCACTCCATGCCTTTTCTTAGGTTGTAGAAGGCCTGTCTGGTGTGTGTTTCCTAACAGTAAATTTCCTGTTCTGCAAGCTAACTAGGCTTACATGTGCTTTCTTTTGGCATACAATGAAGACTTCCTACCCTGAAGCCATTAAGTTATAAATTTATGTGATGATGCAAAAAAAAAAAAAAAAAAAAAATCATGCTGGAATGTGGCATTTATGGTAGCAGTAGCACAGACAGGAAAGCCTCCTTTCGCGGATTAAGGGAAGCAAGAGGATTCAACCAGTCATCCGGAACAGTGTTTCTGTCAGTATTTTGCCACCAATATGCTTTTCCTCTTGCTCAAGGTTAACTGCTCTGGTGTTGCATAGTGTAAATGATGTATGCAAAAAGTAGGGAAAGTGTATGTCATCTCTGTATGTCGGTGTATGCCTGTGTTAGTAACACAGTGCTGATGGAAACATACACTGCAGGTTATCTTACGCCCTTTCCTCCTTGTAATGAGGAACACACCTTTGCTTCACACAGTCAGAGAGGAGGTAAGGCATTCACCAAAGAACAAGCTTAAAACTAGAAAAGGAGAACTGCTTTCCCTTCTTGCTGTGAGAGGAGCTGATGGAGTTTGTTGGTAATAGAGCCTTTTCTGGGAATTTTGGTTTTATAATGTCTTCTGTCATCGCCATCATGAGAGGTCAAGTCCACATCAACCCATTTCCTCCTGGCCCTTGGGCAGGGAGCTAGATCTGTATTGCAAATTGCATAGTTATTGACAGCAAGAACATTTCAGAAGTAGGAAACAAGTTTGGCTTTCTGCAGGCAAAGGTCAGAAAGCACAGCATGATTGCCAGCAACTGGAAGACAGATTAGTTTGCCTTTACTGCTCAAGCAAGTAATCTTGTTTTGTAATAAATGCACTTGTTTGCTTTATATAGATTAGGATAAATTGAATTAGTGTTACTTCGTTTCTGCTTGGAGATAGGGTTTTTCCTCTGGTGTGAAGTGTGCCAACTTTGGATCTGATACACATGCACACAGGTCTAGCTGATGAAACTCTGTTTGGGATCTTGTGTTTGCAATAAGCGTGTCCTGAGATTGCTCTTGTCTATGCTCCTCCCACTAAACTGGTTAAAACCTTAAGGGAGCAGGGAACTTTACAAGCAGAACTATTGCTGACGTATAAAGTGTGATAGCACTTTTTCACTTGGGCAAATATATGACGCCTCTGCAAACTTCAAATTCTTAATCCTCAAAACCCAGAGCTAGGTGACTTAAATCATGCAGGTGTGTATGTTGGCCTCAGCTGAGCCTACTGTGAAAGTGTGTAACTTGATTTGAAAAAATGTCTAGATTTCATCCTTTGCCAAAACTCTCTATCTGATGTTAGTCTTACGTGGTAAAGGTTGTGGAGGCTAGGGATGGCCTTACAGCGTGGATAAAGGGAGCGTAACTCTTTTTTCAGTACTGCTTATTGTAGTAAGCAGTTGTGGTGATCAATGTGTCACCCTCTACCTTCCCTATAGCTCCTTGGTCTGTTGTCCTGCTGCTGCCTGTGGTCCTGGCTGAGCATAAAGCATTCTGGTGTGGACAGTGTCAAAGCCAGATCCTGGCTGCAGTGTTGTAGCAGGACTGGTCTCAAACTGGGGGCTACTGCTTGCAGGATAGAGAAAGGAGAGAGCAGAGGTGAACTGCACATGAAGGCTGATCTTTGCTGTTTGGAAACTGTCTCCCACAGGACTCTCCGACTGAACTCAAGCTGCAATTTACACTCTTTGTTAAGCATACCTTCTGATTAATAAAAGAAATTTCTTTAGTCTTTGGAGACTGCCTTGTAAAAATCATCTGTGATTTTGATTTCTCACCAGGTTTATAGAATGAGTAAGCTATTGCTTACCCACAGGGAAACAGAACATGGATTTGGGGAATACCTTCCTTCAGTGGTGTGTGTGAGAGCTTGGTGCTTTCAAGTTGATTTTTTTTTTTCCTGCTGAAATTCAATTCAGTTCAGATCTTCGGTGTAGGCATGCCTTACCTGGGATCACTGGCCACAGGCAGGAATGCCGCTAACTCTGGAAGAGGTGGTATGTATCAGCTCTGGGCTTGGGGATCAAAGGCAGCTTCATCATTAGAAAGAAAAATGACGACTGCCTCCACTGACTTGCCTGGTATTAGTTATGTGCTTCATGAAATGGCTTTGATCATGTTTCTTCACAAAGTTAAGCTTTTCCTGGAATTTAAATATTCACTTCCTTAATTGTACTGAGTAACTGTAACCCTAACTAATTAATCTTCCTCCAGGCATGTCAGCCTCGCATTCATGCCATCACTAGTGACGCTGCATCATACCACATACCATAGTTAGCTCTCCCCATCCTCCTGTATGTAATCATCCACTCCCATTTTATTGTTGTGCTCTGAATTCTTTTTGATTTATCCTGAGATGCCAAGAGCCAGCACCGAGCAGTAACTTTCAGCTTTCACATAAAACTTTAAATTACTCTTGTCTCTAATGATTCAGAATTCCTTGACAAAGTTGGGGGAGAGCTCAAGAAAATGTGAAAGAGCATTAGCTTTTATAGCTTGAATCCAGATGCACATGATACTGCTTAGAGTGAGTCTTTGTTTTGGGAGTTTAACTGAAGAAATCTGACCTTTTAGGATGGGAGACATGTAAACTTCCAGTTGATATCAAGCTCTGGAGATAAGGTCCTCTGTTTCCATAGATGGAGGAAGTAATTGAAAACTTCATACTTAGATAAACATTTGGTTCTAAAAAGCTTTTTTTTTTAATCATTTTTTCCCTTTTTAACCTCTGTGTATGGTCCAAGTTCTATGTGTAAGATTAGAAGTCTGGCTTTTGTGGTGGTGGACCTAGACAGCTGAGGTTTCTGTTGCCTGCAGGGCAATGGTCTGCCCAGTATTACTGACTGTAGCTGCTCGCAGAGACCAGGTGTTGGTTTAGATGGATGACTGAATCTCACCCAGTTCTGGCTACACTTTTGACCCAGGATGCTTCAGGGACTAGTAAGTTAATTCTCGTTGGATGTTGCATAATTATGTTTGTGTGGTTTGACCTTCTTTCTCATGTCTCTCCCCCCCCTGTTTTATTTCACACAGCAATCTTGCTTTTGTCATACCTTTTTGGAATTGAGTAATGTGCTCGCAGCAGAAAAGTTTGATGAGGCTGCAGGAATGGAAATCAGTGTCCCCTCTCTCCTCTGTAGGTGTTAGAGCAATGCTGCAGAGCCTACGCGGTGCAGCGTTCCCTGCCAGGTATGCTGCAGTACCGGTGCCTCTGCATTCAGTCCTTTGGCACTGAAATAAATAAGTGATCACAGGGAACGGCTGGGTAGGACAGAAGTGGAAGGTGTGGCAGAATGGCGATGAAGAGATACCACCATGTGGTCGTACATAAATACATTGTGTTGGCTCCATCTGGCCTGATAACCACCTCAGGGGTCAGAGAGAGGAGCTGCTAGTTTGCTGAGGCTGAGAAGTATATAAACGGAGGAGGGAAACTCCCGGGAGCTTTGAATGACTTGAATTAGTGTGTCTGAGCAGTGGCCTGGAATACTGAACTTTTGCCTCTCTGCCCTTCATCCTTTCACTGTGTCCCCTTCAAAAATGCCTGACTGCTGGTACATTGTACTGTCCATGCCTTGGCTGGTCACTGGCATAAAATCGTTTGGAAACAAACCCAGTTGCCCTGTGACAGCAGGTTGCTTTTTCAATGCTGCTAGCACTGCATTAACAGTTGTGATTGAAATGAGGGTGGATTTTTTTGGGACCCCTGTCAGAAAAGTAATTCGGGAGAGGGTCACTGTTAAAGGTGGTTCCAGCTGTTGCTTGCTTCACTTGAACCTCTAGGTTCCCTCAAATGAGTGCTTTAAAATGGGATACCATTGTTGAAGTGCTAAATCTGTTAACTTCATTACCTTTATGGGATTTTGGTATTGATTCCTGCTGTTAATGTGCACATAATCAGAGTAAAATTGCAATATGGGCATTCCTAGAAGCTGCTCTCTAGGTGAGAGGATGGTAGCTCAGGGGAGAGGCGTGAATTGTCACGCACTCTTGTCTGCCTTTCTGCTGTCCCTCATGGATACAGACTGGATTTTTATCCTGTCAAGTTGTTTCACTACAGAATTAAGGCTGCAAAATGTGTTCCAGTGCCTGAGATTGCTCTTCCCAAATTACTGGGTAGCCTTAGGAGGCTGGAAAAAGCAGGCAGCAGTTTTGGGTATAAATTCCTTATGTCAAGATAACCCTTTAACTGTATTACTTCTGTTTGTTGTATGAGAAAAAAGGGGGAAAGTTTCAAGTTTGGTCTCTGTAAGATACTCTTTTGCTAAATGCTTTTCCTGACTAGAAACCTGGTAGTGACTGACAGCATGAAACATGCAGCCGCCTGAACTGAACTTGGTCACGCAATCCGTTGTTAAGAACTGGATTGTAAGATTTAGTTTGGGTCCCCGATAGTTGAGATTTCAAGTGCTCTGTGACCTTGAAAACAAGTGTTTCGTCTGTTCGTGACATGGAGATTTCCATAGCCTTAATTTCCCCAGGAAATCCTCGTCCATCGGGCGTTAGTGCATTAAGACCAGCAGTGGGCCAGTATGAAACACGTGCGTTTTATGGGTGAGAAGACGCAGGGAGCTTAATGCAGAAGTCAGGGTTTTTTTCAGCACAGTCCGTGGCAGCTCAGCAGTCTTCTTTCTAAACTGGAAATAAGATCTCTTGACTCGGTCCTGTGTTTTGGCTGTTAGATGCATCCTCTAACTGGAGAATATGACTTCCCTTGTAACTGGGAGGCAGGTGTTTTGTGGTCACCGTTGCACGAGGGGAAGGTGCTGTCTTCTGGCCAACAGCTGCTACATCAACAACCAGGAGCAGGCTGGGTTTTAGCAAAGGTGCGAACCTGATGGCATTCATAGGCTTTCATCAGCACTGGCAACTGAGGAAGGACATATATTGGATTTTCTCTTGTGTTTTGCAAGACACCAGCGCTGTCTTGGTCCCATCTGAGCTGAGTTTTCAGCAGCTCTCATCCAGCTATCAGTCGTTGACACAGTGCTGGGCAGAAGCTGTGGTTCTTCTGCCCTTGGGTGCTGGGAGGTAAAGCGGTAGGTGGTGGTATGGTGAACACACAGCATGGCTTTGCTCACGGTGGGGTAAAAAGGTGGATATTGCTTGTTCTTGCTGCAAGATGTCTCTGACTGTCAGAGCAGCCACTCTGGGACTCTCTTGCAACCCGGCACAGAAAAGCAGGGATCTGCCCCTGCTCTGCCACCTGCAACTAAGTCTTGGGTCTTGCCTGTGATATTAGCAGTAGGGATGTGATGAAGGCTTTAATTCCTCCTATTAGAAGGGTGTTACCATAACATGGAAATTTCAGAATTATCTCCTATCCGCACTCAAAATCTGAATTAAGGTCAAAGAAGTCCAAGGACTATCTATTGCATAAGTTTTTGTAAAGACCTGTATTGAAGCTCAAGAAATTAATAAGCATAAAGTATTACATAATTCTAGTGGAAAGCAAGCAATAATAAAACTTGGGTGTCTGGCCTTTGTGCCTTTTAGAAATGCAACTGGAACTGGCATCTCTTAATTGCAGCTTGTTTTCCAGGTCATCAGTTTGACTCTTTGAATATGTAATTCTCCCAGATGGTTTGGCTTTGTGGATGTCTGACATGATCTACATGTCTTCAGATGGTTTTTTTGGGTTTTTTTTTTTTCTTCTTCAAGCTTGGCACTTTGGAATGAATGCTGTCTGGAGTCTGAGTTGTGTAACATTAAAGTTTGAATTATGTCCAAATTTCAACTCTGATAACTCAAGAAATGTCGAGTTTGCTCAGTGACAGCTGCATCCAGACTTCCTGAAGTGTAATGGTGGAAGTAGGCAGATCTTTCAGGCTGTGGAAGCTTCTGGAGAAATACTGAATCCTTAACAGGCACAGACTGCTTAAATATCTGTTTCTTTAGTGGACAGTATCAGATCTTCCAGGTACTGCAGGTACAAACTTCTAAGTTTCATGCGGGAGTGCAATATGTATTAGGACCTTAACCAGTGCCTGTGAAGTTGTCTGGAATCTCCTCACTTAATTCTATCTGAGACCTTAAGCTACTACTCACTTTTATTGTGCTTTGCATTTTATTGCCTTTTTTATATATATATATCTTTCCCCAGCAAGGTCAATTTTTACTGTTAATGGCTCTGTGCCTCTAAAATGAGCTGTGGAACTATAAGCTATATTTTGTCCTGCCTGTGCGTCACCAGTATAAATGGGCTTAGTAAATTCTTCTTCAAAGTTGTGTTAGTGCTGGCACCAGTAAGACCTCGAAAGGTTCAGCTTTAATCTTTTGTATCAGGTGAAGTCTGAATGCTCAGTTCCAAAAACTGCAATATTCCTAGGACATTTTGTGGGGAGAGAATAAAACTGAATAAACTCAAGACTTGTGTTCATGGAAGTGTCTTAAGTGTCCTTTTGCTGCTTTGGTTTTTGTTGTGGTTTTTTTTTTTCCTCTGCTTTTTGCTTGTCTCCAAATGTGAAGATCCTGTAATTAAAGATTGTATCCCTGTTGCACTGCCCATGATTTGTCAGCCACGTGCTATTTTTAGCTGGTTGTTTAGGTTAACCTTCCCATGGCTGCTGACTCAGTGAGTACCAGGTGGTTAGTGCATCTTCTGACAGAACCTTGCTGTGATTTTTTTTTATTGGTTTCCTTTTACAAAAATGTGTTTTTATTAGTGTAACAATTCTGTTCTGAAAGTGTATGCTGTCCTAGTTAACGATTGCCTATCATAGTCTTTTTAATACATGTCTAATAAAGAAGAGTTAGGTTCTGCAAAGGAAGACAGATAATTGCTGCTTCCCCCTCAAAAAAAAAAAAAAAAAAGGACCCAGAACCAAAAAACCTAACCAAGCAAAAACCTCAACAAAATGTATTGACTCATATTTTTAACCAGCCTCCAAAGTGATGGAGGCAGAGTGCTTTGTATGTTGGCTAATTGATTGCACAGCCTTTGATTGATGGGATGCAATTTGGTTGAGCATCAGCTGCAATTGTAAGCTCTAGGACCATGGCTGAAATGATTCATGTGTAGCAGCAGGATCTCCAGACTGAATTAGAGGCTTGTATTGACTGTGGCGCTGTGCATTATTTAAAGGATTGGTTCTGTGCCATTGAGTGTCTGAAGCAATTAACTGCTTCTCTCTGCTGAACAATCACCTCCTTTTTTTGTGAGTTCGTCCATATCAATAGTGACTTTTAGCATAGTTTCTTTATTTTGGTAGCAAGACAAATAAAAATGAGTCTTGCTGTTTTCTTTTTTTTTTATTCTCATTCTTGTGATTTTTTTTCCCTTCACATAAAATAAAGAGGTATTGAGAATACTTTTGACGTGCGGAAACAGACTCCACAGTCAGTGAGATTGTAAAGTAGGTATGCTCATTCAGCGCTGGGCAGCACGGGGGGGTAGTCCCACCAAAGTCGTGTGCGCCTGACTCGGCAGTTCGCTTCAAATTTATACAGTCAAGTGTTACATATACATAGAGTTTCTCAATACGCCTATACATAGGCATGACCTATTCCTGCTTCATATTAAAATTAGTTCCAAGAAGTCATTTCCCTAAGTTCTTCCCAACTGTGCCTTGCACAGTGCCTCCTCTTGGTGGTCGTTGGGGGTCGTGAAGATGAAGGCCGTATGTCTTCTTCGCGGTGAACCCTTAACCTTATGTCCTCGTGTAGACTCAGTCGCTCCTTAGCATTTATCCAAATCACAAGGCTGGTTCCTGGGGTCGACTTCTGCTTCTTATCAGGGACTATCTCTTGCCCCAGCCAGCGTCAACATGCAAACGTTAAACATGACCTCTCATCCCCTTGGGCCATGTCTACCTCTATTGAAATTTCTTTAACTTCATTATAAGCTAGATAATTATTAAACAGTTCCTATCTACATCCATATATCTAGTATATCTACTAAGGTTCCTTTGGCTCCCTGTCTCACTTTGGCATGTATGTTTTTATATTCTTCTAGGAAATAATGGAAGAGCTCTGTAAGAGTGTGAAAAAGGGTTTATGTTTAAATTGTTTTCCAGGCACCCCAAAGGTTCAGCAACCTATAGACCAGGTTGGCCCAGATGCTGTGATATTGCTTGTTTAAAAAACCAACTAAACAAAAAAACCCAAGCCATACTCCTACTATTAGCCTGTGGCTTTAGGGCTTTCTAACCTTAAACTGGGTTGAGCTTGGCTTCAGCAGTAGCCTAAGGAATCGGTCCCCAGCTGGTAAGGAGCAGTCATTCCTCCAACGTGGTATCGGTCCAAGCCCAACCTGGGCTTCTGCAGCTCTGTGCTGGTTGGCAGAGCCCTGGTGCAGAGGACAGCAGAAGTGAGGGCCCTCTGCAAAAATACGTAGGAGCCGCGTGGCCCACATGGTCTTGTCAAAGTGTTTTTCCCAGAGACGGTTTGCTGGCCCAGTGTGGGAGCGTCAGTATCTCACTCCCTTGGTCCTGGCTGGGGAAGCTTGTTGCAGCTCAGTAATGAAAGCTGATTTCCTCCAGTGACATTGCTGCCTCATTTTTTCTTAAGTTAATGAGCTTGTAGTTTTTAATTAGACATAAATGGTGGCTGTCATGTCTTGCTTGTTTGTATCTTTTCATCCTGCTGTAGTACTTCCAAAAGAAGAAAACTGTCCTGGTTTTGACTGGCATAGAGTTAATTTTCTTCCTAGTAGCTGGTATAGTGTTATGTCTTGCATTCAGTATGAGAAGAATGTTGATAAGACACTGATGTTTTCAGTTGTTGCTAAGTAGTGTTTAGACTAAGTCAAGGATTTTTCAGCTTCTCATGCCCAGCCAACAAGAAGGCTGGAGGGGCACAAGAAGTTGGCACAGGACACAGCCAGGGCACCTGACCCAAACTGGCCAAAGGGGTATTCCATACCGTGTGACGTCATGCCCAGTATATAAACTGGGGGGAGTTGGCCTGGGGGGTGGGGGGGGGGGTCGCTGCTCAGGAACTAACTGGGCATCAGTGGGCAAGTGGTGAGCAATTGCATTGTGCATCACTTGTTTTGTATATTCCAATCCTTTTATTATTATTGTCATTTTATTATTATTATCATTATTAGTTTCTTCCTTTCTGTTTTATTAACCTGTTCCTATCTCAACCCATGAGTTCTACCTTTTTCCTTCTGATTATCTCTCCCATCCCACTGCGGGGTGGGGGGGAAGAGAGTGAGCAGTTGCGTGGTGCTTAGTTGCTGGCTGGGGTTAAACCATGGCAAAAACAAAAGGGGTAATTTACTTCTGAAGTCAGGCAGCAGGGTGGGCAAAAGTGTACCCAGAACTACTGGTTTTGGCCTAGCCTGGTGTTTTGGTTATTCTCTGTGAAGGTTTCCAGAAGTGCAATTCATTCATTCGAGACTACTTTTTATGTGGGCAACATGGGAGTTTCAAGAGCTATTGAGAACGCCTTCATTGAAAGATGGTGTTTAGAAATGAACACATCCACCTCTGTCCCCTCCTTCCCTTGATTTTTAGGAGTTTCTTGCCCATTGCTTTTCAAGACAATTTGGCTAGCCCTTCCTGCGAGGGAGGGAGACATGTAAAGCAAGACAGCTGGGGTGGCTTTTGGAAAGAGTGAAGAGGTGGGTTGAGGAGTTATGGAAGGAATTGAGGGGTGGTGAACTGAAAAAGTGGTTTTGGAAGAGAAAGTGAGTCAGTGACGCCGTGTTAGCAAAACTACTGAAAATGACATATGGCATCTCAGGAATGTACTGCTGTGGTCCAGCTACCTGCAGAAAGGACATGTAGCTGCCAGCAAGCAGGGGTTGTGGTGTACAACATCCAGGGCTGTCCACAAATCTTACTACTTCAGAGGGTTTAATTTTCCAGGGGGAACTGAGAATCTTTGGGGCCTTATTTGCAGTGAGTCCCAGATGAGAGAGGTGGTGGAAGTGCAGGCTGAGAAGTAACTGAGAAATGCAGTTTTGTTTTTCAGGCTGGCAGCCTCGATGGTTTCTTCTCTGTGGTGGCATCCTGTCCTATTACGACTCTCAGGAAGATGCCTGGAAGGGTTGTAAGGGAAGCATCCAAATGGCCGTGTGTGAAATTCAAGGTAACTAAGATACCATAACACTCAGCTGCACAAAGTTTGTCCATTAATGTTACATTCAAGATGAGCTATTAGGCAACTTGATTTCTTTGGTATGTATTTGTAGTAACTCAGTAACTTGATCTATATGCCAGTTTTTATTCTACAGTATTTTGAAAATGCAAGAGAGCTGCAAGCCTCTAATGTAATGGGTATTCTACATGCAGGTGGGTCACTGTTTTTCATGAGCCACGGTGGAACATCACACAGCTTCAAATGACTCTTCATAAGCACAAAGCTGAAGCTAGAAATATGAATAATAAACTTCAGCACTAGGTCTGCTCACTCATATTGGATTACTTGCCACATCTCTGAGGTTCAGTTATGGGCTGGAAACCTGAAAGAGAGGCTTGCCAGAAGAGGATGCCCTGTCCATAAAGACTCCCAGATGATACTGTACTGATCAAAAAACTGCCTTTCATAGCCTTTTGTCCCACAGCTGTACACACGTGTGTCCTGTCTATTCCCTAACTCAGAAGAGAAGTCAGAAGATGGCAACAGGGCAAGTCTGGGGCTGTAGATTCCTCCTCTTTCATTACTGTTTGACCTGCCACCTAACATATCTGTTGGGATATGTATTTGGGCTGGGAAGGGCTGAGGGACTGGTCTGAAATCTATGTTGCTTCTAGTTCATCCTGCAGATAATACACGAATGGACCTGATCATCCCAGGGGAACAATACTTCTATCTGAAAGCAAGAAATGCAGTTGAAAGGCAAAAGTGGCTGGTTGCACTAGGAACTGCCAAAGCCTGTCTGACCGACAGCAGGACACGAAAGGAAAAAGGCAAGAACACCCTTTTGCTGGCACATATTGTTTGCTTTTTATTTCCCCATCCTTACCCTAGCAGATGTACACACAAAGATGACAAAATCCATACCTGAACTCTGTGTCCAACCTGTGTTTCATATCTTTGGTGCCTCTAAAAGCCAAGCCATGTGGAAACCCTAGCTAGAAATCTCAGGTGTTAACTCTCAGTGCAGGGATTTGAAAACTTTGGCTTTTCCTTAAAATATACTGTGTGTAAATAATTTGAAAGCCATGTTCTGATGGGTTCTGCAAATACAAGGAGTGAGTAGCTCCTGGCTGCGGGTCACTGGGATGCAGACTGTGCATGAAGGTAAGACCCCCACCTTGTGCAACCATCTTAGTATGATGACCCAGCCTCTCATACCAGTGGTTCTTGAGCTTTGGGGTTCCTCAGACCCTTTCCTTCCATGTTCTAACTGGGCTGTGCACTTGTGCACTTCAAGAATCTCTTGGCAATTAAAATAAAGGTTTGCAATTGGTTTTAAATGTGCATACTAGTATTCAGAAACTGAAATCTGATCATGGTCAGGCTATGAATATTAATTCACTTACCTCTGTGCTTTCACCAGCAATCTCACTTTCACCCCAGTGAAAACCCCTCTTGCTTACAAGCATGGTGTTATTTGTGAGTCAGTGTGAGACCTCATGCCTTAACCTTGCTTAACCTCAGCACAATGACTATGCAGAAGATGGGAAAACAGCAAATTATTGTTAATATGTCAGTGATCCTGAGCAAATGCAGGGGAGCAGGCACTTCCTTTCCCTGAGGTGAGGAATCGCATCTCCTCTTAGCCTTATGTGCCTCTTCACCAGGCTTTGCATCTACTGGTTCAAACCAAGTCAGAACTGAGCAGCAGATGCTGCTGTAGGGTCCTACACAAAGTGGGGATCTGATGCGCAGTGCAGAAACAGAACAAAGTTATATCTATAAACTGACATACAGTAGCACAGGGTGGAAAAGCTACTCGTGTATTTGCAGAACTAAGCCATGTTAGTCTTACTAACAGACAAATTAATTTATTTTGTAATTCTAGGACTGTAATGTCAAAAAATTACTTCTCAAAAATCTCAGGGTGACTGTTAGTCATATCTGGATTAGTCTGCTCAGTTCTGCACTCTCCAGTACAAGAAACGTATGGACATACTGGAGTGAGTCCAGCAAAGGGCCACTAAGATGATTAAAGGAAATATCTGATGGGAGAGCATAAAAAAGATGGAGCCAGACTCTTCTCAGTGAATGGACAAGAGGAAATGGGCATAAATTTAAATACAAGCAACTCCATTGAGACATAAGCAAAAATGTTTATATTATGAGGATGAGGGAGCACTGAAATAGGTTGCACAGAAAGGTTGTGGAGTCTCCATCCTTGACAATGTTCAAAACCTGACTAGACATGGCCCTGAGTAACATGCTCTGTCTGACCCTGCTTTGAACAGGGGAGTAGGACTAGCTGGTCTCCAGAGGTCCCTTCCAACCTCAATCATTCTGTGATTCAAGGATATATATTAAATTAATCCCTTTGTGTTGGACAGGATGTGTCTTTTCCCTCCAGTGTTCTCTACTCAGAACCCTGATCTTTTAATTCACAGTGTAATTGTTTGCACCTTAAACTACTTAGTGGGGAAAAAAAAATATGGTATGTAGGGGTTTCCTCCTATTTAAAAGGCCTGTTAAGGTCAAGTGTTGTGTACTTGCTTTTTTTCTGTGTCCTAAGTCTAGGAACATACTGTTCTGTCTATGATGGTAAATAACAAAACAGTATTTTACCTGTCAGGAGCATAATTTATGGCCAATCCAGCTCATCTTTTTGAGTTGATAGAAAATGTTTTGAAATAAGGAAGTACTGATTGAATTAGGTTGGATATTACTATTTCAGCAACTTTCCAAAATCATATACTGCAAGATGGATACAATAAAATTAAGTCTTCTTTCATTTCACTTTTAGAGTTCACTGAAAACACAGAAGCCTTGAAGACTAAAATGTCTGAACTTAGACTGTACTGTAACCTCCTTGTTCAGCAAGTGCATAAAACGAAGGAAGCCAGCATTTCTGGTGTATCAGAACCAGAGGTACAGCTTTATTTTTGGTGTAGACCATGTCTGTAAAGTCATGAGCATTGTGAACTTTTCTGGTTAGCCAATGTAGTATTCACTCACAGTTACTTAATATTGCACCCTCTTTCTGCAGAGAACCAGTAGGAAATAATGTACCCACACAACAGTTCTTGTTTAAATGGAGTAATACTGTATTGTGGCAAATAACTTCCCTGTGTTGGGGTAGCAAGTAGTGAGATGAGATATGGTATCTGTGATGTAGATAATCACATCGCTGTAGGTGATCATGTGTATATAGTGGATCAAAAAAGCGAAAGATTTTTTATAAAAAGATAACTTGCAAGAAGCACACACTTGTCTGATCCTGAGTCATTAATATCCTGCTCAGCAAAACACTTCTCAACCAAAACCCTTAAAAGGTCAAGAGACAATGCAGACCACAAAAAAGCAAAATTACTAGAAAGAACTGCCTGATTAACCTCACTTAAGTTAAAGTTTCAAACTTTGCAAATCTTCTTGACCAAAGAAGCCTCATTTAAGAGGGGTCTTCTAATGACAGTGATCTGCCCCTTGCTTTGAGAGAGAAATGCGTGAAAAGGGATGCATGTCACTTGCTAGAGAGGCTGGTGTGGAGTTCCAGGATGCTTCCCACTGGAGAGATGGGTCTTCCGGTGCAGGACAGGCAGGCAAAACACCTGAAGTTAATCATTTGTATGTCCAAATCATCTCTGTAAAGGTACCTGATAAACTGTTTATGGTGAATTAACAGACAATGCAGAAGCATGAGGTAGTGTGTAAATGACTAAAAGGGACTGTTAGAACTTGCAGCTCACAGGTGCTGAGAACAAACAAGTAGTGTGGTGTTTATCCAGCTCATAGTTCATGCTTCTGGGGGAAAACTCACTTTCCCTGATCTTACTGGTGTTTGACTGGAAAGATTTATTGCTAAAAGCATTTCAGCATCAATAACTGCACTTTGCAGAGATGAAGGGTATTGTGGCAATGTGATATTTCATTCTGCCTGTTTTTCAGCAATTTTTTGTTCATGGGATTTTTGAAATTATTATCTGCAGATCATTCTGTATCTATTTATTTTGTTTACTTTTCATTTCTCCTGTCGGTGGTGTCTTCTGGAATGCCATTGTTGAATACATCAAGGCTTAGTATTTAATACACTTTTAACACCAGAGATAAGTGACTAAAAGGCATTGCTTTTAAAACCCAAGCGTACTGAGCTTGTTGCAGTGAGAGGCTGACAAGAGTGGTAATGCTGCAAGGGGGCATAGCCCCAGTAATAAGTGATGCCAGTTCTCTGAGCAGCTGACACATTGCATTTTAATTCATGTTAAACAGAAATAATGGCTGTAGCAGTTGTGGACTTTGTAGACATCAGTTGCTCCAAACTGATCTTCTGTGGTGAGTCCATTTCTTCCAATTGGTTTCTCCCCACAGAGAGAGATTGATATGGGAGCTCAGTTAAAATCAACATGTGACACCTTCCTGAAGACTCTTGAAGAATGTATGCAGATTGCAAATACTGCCTTCACTTCTGAGTTATTGCATCAGACCCCACCTGGATCCCCACATTTAGCGGTCCTCAGAACGAACAAGGTAATGGCCAGTATCCTCTTCTCTCAGTCTTGGCATGGATGCTAAGGAGCCCTTTTGTTAAGTAGCATTTGTAGAAGTAGGGAATGCATTTTTACCCATATTATAACGAGTAGTCCCCTACTGGACGTACTCTGCTATTTCTTGTGGTTTGCAAGTGAGGTAGGGCCATTTTTTAATAAGCAGTGACCAGTCTTTTAACTTTTAATTACAGGTGAAGGTTATTAAGCATTAACTTTCAGGGCCTGCTCCAGCTGCAGACAGTGGTGTTTCAAAATACGTTGACTATATGGCAAGTTGTGGGAGCTCACAGCAATTATTACTCTTCTAAGCTACTGCAGCATCGGAACTCTGGTAATACGCCAACACTAGCTGATGAGCTTATCTTTTTAATGACAAGGGCGTTTTCTTGAATCCTGGATCCACAACTACTTAAGCAAATCCGGAGCATCTTTGGCAAACAGCAGATTAAGGTGTATGTAGGAAGGCAGATACGTCACTGCATCTGGGAAGTGAGATTACCTCACCATACCTGGTATCTGGCCTCACGTTTCTTCTGTTTTCTCATAATTTTTTTCTTAAGTAAAGAAAACATCATTGCAAAGAAAACTCACTGCCTTGTTTCTTTTCCACATGCTGTATGGTGTCTCACTTGGCACTTGCTAGCTAGCTTCTGAAAGAAGTCTCCTGGTTTTCTTTTTTTTTTGTTTATTTTCAATATTTTAATGGTGTAATGTAATGGTGTAATAATGTATCACCTTTTTCACGTTTGTCTGTATACAGCCTCCAGGTCAGAGAATTAGTGAGCATATGCTTAGCTTTTCAGCTTTTTTGCTGACTCCAACTTGTGTTTAATAAAATGTGAAGTGTGAGAAGCATGATACGGTCTTCTTGCTTTAAAGAATATTCTCCCTCTCCACTTATCTTACAGATAAAGCACTCTGTCTTGTCCAGTCACACCTCAATGGAAAGGTATAATAAAAGTCTTTACTGTAAATCTGTTTCTAATCTGGTTTTGGTAGTGTCTGTTCTTTCCGTTTTTTTTTACTCTAATGTTATTAGTACTGGATGGAGGCAGAATTATATTGCTCTGAGCTGTGTACTTGGAAGCAGACACAACAAAAGGGAGCTAGCACACCCCACTTCATCTCACTTCTTTATCAGCCCTTTCCCTTTTCTTTTTCTCAGCCACCCACTTGGTGACTTACTGGTCAGTCACCAGCCAGCTCTTTCCACTTCAGTTCTCTTTCCTGCATCTTAGGTTCCACTCCATAAGCTCATAAAATCATTGATGGAGAGCAGGCTATGATTTGTGGAGTAGATGGCAAGGGTGTATATTTTAAAGTACTAATGAGATGATATTCTTTTAGCTACAATACCTGTCTGTGATTTTCTTTTTTTGTAATCAATTGTATTTTTTTTATTATGTCTCTCTTTAGAAAAGGTAATTGTAAATATATTCAAACTCTGTAAACTGAGGTTGAATTGTTAATCGTACTTGCTGCAAAGAGCTGCCTGGTTCCTTTTATTATTTTAGACAAGTTCTTTTGCTCAGAGCAGCCTGTGACAGCCTATAATTTCTGTCAACTATTTTTCTGTAATTTTTATTTGTGTGTTTTCACAGGAAAAAGCTTACCAAGCAATGTTTTATACACTAACCATTATTCTTTCCCTTTCTTCAGGCAGATGGAATTAAACCCCTGTGAAAATGGCTCTGTAAAAGCAGAAATCAACCATCAAGAGCAAACCCTTATTAAAAGTCTGGAATGTTTAAACCTGGAAACAAATGAGGGGAGCAGTGATGTTTCTGTTGAAGATCACATAACAGAGGATTTGGCAGGTAAATATATACACTGTCTTTTATCCGGAATCATTACTCTTTAAGTGTAAATGGAGGGAGGTGTAGTCTGCCTGTGAGAGCGCTGATACCTTGCTTCCCAGGAGAGGGAATGTCAGTGTATTTTAGTCTGATATCTGCCCATTGTCAAGCCTTGCCAGCATAGCTCCTGCCCTTGTTGGTAGCTAACTTGGGACTGAAAGGGGAAGGAAATTAAAAATTCTTTTTTGGACAAGTGGACGCTCCTCTAGATGCTGATTGACATGCATAACAATACAGCCTGGCAGAGCTTGGGCTCTTCTTGCACTGTGGACAGACATATTTATTCCCAGAGGGCCCCTTCCGCTGGGAATGCTGGCACCTCTGCTAGTATGTAGGGCTGCATTGTCAGAAGGGGGACATTGAAGCTTTGTGTACTGTCTGGGAGGGGTTGACCTTGTAGTCCCTCTTGATTGCTCTGACAAATCTTTACAGAAAATCAACCCTTTTTCTGCAATTAAGAGTATACTAGAAAACACCTTATTTCTTCCATTACCTTAGCAATAGCATGAAACTTAGATTTGTGTGTGACTTAGTAAAACACTGTTGAACTAATTCAGTATAAAATTCCATCCAACCTAGCTATATTGTTAAGGGCTGCTGAACTTAATTTTGGTAAGTCTGTCCAGATAACCTATGATTTCTGCTTGTCCTGTTGAATGGACTGTATCGTTCTTGAACAGTAGCTTTCTCTGCCTGGCTGTTATTCCAAAACATACGTATGCAGTCAGTGAATCAGCTGAAGATTTTAACCCCAAGTTAATGAACATGGTGATTTTGCTTTTACTTGGGTTTTCTTGGGAGTTTTTCCCATTTCTGGTGTTGTGTTGTGTAGCATGGCAAGTCCCTGCAGAATAACATGCATGTGTCACCATTTAGCATAATACCTCAAGAACACAGTGCTAAAGAAAGGAGAGCAAACTAATTCAAGTCAGGTTGTTGGTATCATTTAGCTACTGAGGTTGTTCCTGTGCAAAAAAGAGAAAAGCCTGTTCCCTCTTGGGTACACACATTTTTGTTGTAGAGTTTTTCTGGCAGTATGGGATGGAGTAGGATGTGCAGTGCCATCTGTATGGGGTGGGCTGACCCAGCCAGCCTGGGGCTCCGTCTTGCCAATGGCTGTATTTGCCTGCTCCCTGTGAGCCCAGGAGCTCTGCCCTGTCTTGGATACTCTTCCCTCCCTCTCCCCTTTATTAAGAGCAGTCAATCTTTAAAAACACTCAAGCACTCGAGTCCCATAAGAAATTTCTGTTTGCCTTTTAGGGCTTACAGTGTTTGAGTTTGAAATTTCAGAGGACCCCTGGTTTTCTGCATAGCACTCCTGGGGAGTCACTGCAGACTTGGGCTGTTTCTCTACTCACCAGCCCATGTGTCTTGGTAAAGGACAGATCAGTGACATCCCTCAAACTCTAGTTCCTTAGCAGAGTCCCTTTGCTTGTGAATGAGGCACGATCAGTGATGGCTGAGGCCATTTTTTTCTGTGCTGAGGAGAATGGCTGAAGTCTCATTGCTGTTACTGGGCACAAGTCGTTCTTTTTTTCACCCGGCGCCAGGCTTATGCAGTGGTTCTGCAAGTAATAGGGACTGCTGCAAGCTTGCTTTCAGACCTCATTTGGAGGAAGAGAGTTCCTTGCAGCTTGATCCCTTCAGACAGAAGCTCAGTTCCACTTCAGGTCTATAATCCTCACTGGCACTTGAAAGTATTCCTTTCCTGGAGAGACAGGTTCCCTGGGAAATATTGGATGCTAGTTTGACAGTCTGGCAGCAAACTGTGTTGTAGCCGTGGCTTGTATGCTGCAGATGCTGTGAATATATCATTTTTGCTTCCTGACTTGTTCTCTGCAGTTCTCCATGAGGTCAGAAGGTCTTACCATGCATGGGATCTATAAGACACTGTCTTCCTTTGGAGGTGCTCGTTTAGTGCTCTGTTTATTTGAAACAGATGTGCTTGATCCCAAAGAAGAAATGAAATAGACTACAGCAGGGAAGAGGCACCTGAATGTTCTTCTGGGAAACTTTAAAGATATTCCTACAAATCAGGGAGAACATAGCAGCCTTTGATATCATAGCAGTATCCATCTAAGCAGCCAGTTTACTTACTTATCAGAAGGAGCAAACAAGTCTATTATTCTTTTACTTTTGAAAATGCACTATGCCACTTTATCAGAAGTTACAGCCATCTGACAAGTAATCTTTCTTTCAAGGAGATGAGTCTACTCCCTGCTGCACCCAATCGCTTCTTCAATGTTCTTCTCTCATAAGGCTGTCCTCGCTGAGGATGTGTGGGCTCACCTGCATTGGAGCCTGGTGCTTGGTCTGTCTGATTAAAAGAAATGGGGAGGGGACTGATTGAAATGTGGTCTGAGCACCCAACAGACCTGTGGTGTGAGAGTCATGGTGCTGGCGGGGAAACTTTCAAACTTGCATGATCCAGATATCCAAGTGCCTTCCTTCAAATAGAAAGCATCTTGATGAACAGGAATAACAATATGGGTATGTGGCTGTTTTCTTTTTCTATTTTTGTTTTTCTTCTGTTTCCTATAAATGTAAGGCATTAAAGAAGATGGAGAGAACAAGCTGCAAGCTGTAGAAAGCTGTGGTGCCCACAAGTTGCTGCAGTCCGAAACGAATTCTTTAAGTGGATTGACTCTGTGTGAGGAAGACAGAAATGAAAATGATTCTCCTACCTTCTTCAGTGTCATGAGCAATAGGTAGTACAGATTTCAATTAAAAGGATTATTGAAACTTTGTTAAGCCTTTAATTGACTCATTTTTAAGACTCTTCTGTCTGTAAAGCTGTATTTGCTGAGATTATTTAACAAGACTGCATACAGCACAGTAATTGAAGAAGATATCCTTTGTAGAATTAGCTGTACAGAGTGGAGTGGAAGGTTTTTTCCTTGTTTGTAATTGCAGGCCTTGCTTGCAGACCCTCAAATGTGTATTTTCTGCAGTCATTTACTTTAACCTAGTGAAACAAAAGCCATGTTGGTGGTTCCGTGTCTATAGATCTTACTTCTATGCAAGTGAAGTGGGCATGAAATGTAATTTTGCCTTTAGAAGTTGCACAAAAGCAGTTGTTAAGGTAACAATCTCTTCTGCTTGTCCTGGACACCAGGTTCAGTGATATTGAACTTCGGGAGGAGGAGGGCATACCAACAGAAGAGTTTCTGGAGTCATGTTATGCAATTGTGCCTGTTCTGGGTAAGCAGCTGTTCTTTTCTTCAGGCTCCTTTTGACTGCTGCCAGCTGTGAGAAAAGGTGGAGCCATTGGTTTGGAGAATTCGTTTCTTTGCTAAAGTGATATAGTAGAAACAGTCCCTATCAGCAGAATCAGCTTCACTGGTAGTGAAAGATGTTTCTTATTCCTTCGCTTTATAGAAGGTCCACTCTCATTCAGATGGGACCCATGTATAAGCTGTCTAAAAATCTATGGGTCTATCTGGAACAGCGATTTCTTCCCCTCAAAAGAGCAGCATGGATGCCCTACACATCCAGTACAGCTGACAGCACACCATATCTGATTTTTCCAGACTTCTGCCTCCACCAGTGCAGCCCCCCACCTGCTTGACCCCTGCATCTAACAGTGGATGTGAGGTCCCTGTGAGCATGCACCCTTTTGAAGAGTTCCAAATTGTAGGTCGGTGTATTTTAACACTTGTGCCAGCTGGGGTGGATTGGTTCTACACCGAAGACAGACTTCAGTTTATGTTGTTCATTTAGTATTCTCCTGCCATTTACAAGGGTTATTAAGAAAGTAAATGAAATTAATTGTTTCTAAGACATGAGGACTGGAAAAAGACACAAATTAAAAATATGGCCTCTTTTTTTTTTTTTTGTTCTAGACAAGCTGGGACCAACTGTTTTTGCTCCTGTTAAAATGGATTTTGTAGGTAACATCAAGGTAACAGCTTATTTTTAGCACTGATTTTTTATTTTTTTTTACTAAACAAAATATCTATTTTAGGCACTAAAGCTCATGAATCGTTGTTGTAGGAGTCAATACTGGAAGGCTATTTAATATTTGGTAATGTTACCATCTGTCAGATCAGAATTCTGAAATGTCCCTAATTCTGTTCCTACAGTATATGCTGTGTTTAAATCCAGTTGTTGTGTGCAAACTTATAAAATACTTGATTGACTGCCAGGTAAAACATCTGTTACATCTAATGAATATGACTTTGATTCTAAGCTGGATAGGTTGTACATCATGAAGTGATAGTAGCAATATTGACTTTAGGTGGTAAAACAAATGGAGGGGGGAAAAAAAAACCTTTCCTCAACCAAGTAGGAGGAAGTTACTGCGTTCAGAAGCAGCTTCTCAGCAGGTTGGGGCAGACCCTGCAGCCTCAGTTCTTGTTCTGGAAGTTCTTCCAGCTCAAAGTCTGAAAAGATTTGAAGTGCTGCTTGTGAGATAAGATATATTCATAGCGAGACTTTTCATAGCTTTTCTTTAAAAAAAAGAAAAAAGAAAGAAAAAAAAAAGAAAGAAAAGCAAAACATATATTCTGAGTGTATGACAAGGAACATTGCATACATTCAGATTTGTTTGGTGCAAAGTAAGACAGGTATGCGCTTATCTTACTGAAGGTAGCCACTAAAAGACTGAAAATAGCAAGAGAGAAGAATGTTATTTTAAAAAGTAAAACCTTGAATGTTTATTGTCAAGTGATAGGCAACTGCTCCTTTAATGTTGAAGAAGAATCTGTTTATCTGCCCCTTATATATTTTCTCTCTTGTTTTTGTGAGGAGTTGTGTATAACAAATTTGGAAATACATTAAAAAGCTTAAGCATGCTGATGACTGCTAAGTGTAATTGAGAATTTGCAGCTTAGCAGTTGTCAGAAGGTAATCTTGCTTGTACTTGAAGTTCGAAGCAAATGGGACTTTGCTTAGAGAGAAGGGTGAGTTAGCTCCTTTCCACCAGTGTGGAGGATGCCATGTGAACCTAAAGCATTTTGTAAGACAGAAATGGTAGGTTCCATGTAAATCTTTGACTGAGGTGCCTTTTTTTGGTTGTGTTAGCCAGATGGCTAGCCAGATGTCTCTGGGTTGGTGTCCGGGGAAGGCATGCCCAGTGTGGCAGGGCAGCCGTGCCGTGGGGAGTGTGGGACTTGGTTGGGGATCTGTGGTATGCCTTTGCAGGGAAGAGTCCTGGCAAATAGGTGGTGTTTATAGGATGGGTCGCTGTTTGTTTTTAAAAGCCTAAAGCTTCGCCTCTTGGTTTTTTCTCCAGAAAATAAACCAGAAATTTATAACCAACAAAGAAGAGTTTGATACCCTTCAGAAGATAGTGCTCCATGAAGTGAATGGCGGTGTAGCACAAGTTAGAAACTCTGCTACGGAGGCTCTCCTGTGGCTGAAAAGGTAACGGCCTTGCATCTCCTTAAACTATGAACTGCTGAGGTGGATTGAGGGGCCTCTCACCAGTGCAAGCTTAGGTACATGGAGCAAACTGGTTACTTTCCACAGGCTCCATCAATCCAAACTGGCTAGTTTCAAGTTTAATGTGTTGTCTGTGGCTGTATCACTGCAACTTCGCCAAAATGCCTGAAAAAGTGATCGCAGGCAACCTTTTTTCCCCATAAGAGTGAAATTACAGTGAGTGACTGATCCTGCTGGGCCAGAACATCAAGCAGGTGATTTCAGGCTGCAGCAGAAATGTTTTAGCAAAGTGTTTTTTCTTGGGCTAGGAGAGAGGTTGGAGGAGGTGGCTGCATTTTTTTACTTCAGGTTGAAAATGTCATCTTAATTCTGAGTTTATTGCACTTCTGAATTGTATTACAACTTTGGGGGCTTTGTTATGCTTTGGGTTACTTTGTTATAAACATGGTTTCTTTTTATTTCGTGGGTTCATCCTGACAGAGGCTTAAAGTTCTTGAAAGGGTTTTTAACAGAAGTGAAGAATGGGGAAAAGAATATCCAAACAGCTCTGAGTAAGTGCCAGTTGCTTTATTCTTCATGTGCTTCTGAATTTACATGCTTGGCTATTTTCCTCCTCCTTTAGAACCTGCTTTTTCTTTTCTTCAGTGACTAATGATGCAAGTAATCTCCAAGTCATAACTTTTTTGAAAACTGCAGTTTTTGAAAATGGCTGTCTTCAGGCACATTACTAGATAACTGGTCAATGTTGATTTAATAGCAGATAAAGATTCCTTTAATTGGCATTTTTTTTGGCAAGGGAGACAGTCACATCTTAGGGGAAAAAAGTGCTTTGTCTCATTCCATTTTCTCTACTGGTTTGCAGCGAGAGTGCTCTCAAATTTATAGATGCTGTTGTGTTATTTTTTTAGTTCCTTGTGATATTGGCCATCACTCTTTGAAGTCACCTCTTTGCCAGTGCGGCCGTGAATTGCTTGTATCAGGAAAGAAGGTTTTTTTTCCAAGTACACAATTTCTGACACTTAGTCAGGCTAGTGCCCACAGCAAGCATAAAACAAAATACAAACCCCTCTTAGACTTAGGTTATTCTTGAGTAAGACCCTCTCTATGTCCATGCAGTCTAATGTTATGATAATCCTTCAAAACAGTTTTTTTAAAGCTTTTTTTTTTTTTTTTTTTAGTTTCTTTTAAATAGTTAAGCAGTCGTCCGATAGGATTAGTAAAAAGAAGTACTACACTGAAGTATGTAAGCAGCTCTTGGAAGTGGGACTGTAAATACACTGCTACCAGATGTGGATGTTAAACACCCCAGAAAGTCGAGGCACATATTTGACTTTCTGAGTGTGAAGGCTTCAGCACTGAATTACTTCTTGAATTGCTCTGCCTCCACAGCAGAGCCATGCTGCTGGTTTTTTTCTCGCTTCTTCCTTCCCTTTCTCCCCCTGAAAAGCTCTTCCATATCTCTATCACCAGTGCAGCTTTGGTTTACTGTTACAGTTTCTTATTTAGGAGTTACTGTGCTATTCAAATCTCAAGTAAAGATGGGGTATACATTCTCTTTCTATAACCTCAAATATCAAGCTAATGAAATGAAAATAAAAAATGGAATATCCACCAGTTCTTATGATCTTCTGAGTAGCAAACAGCTTTCTAAAGGGATTTGTCTTTACTTGGGATTTAAATCTAAGCAAACTTTTCAACTTCTGGTGTTTTTAGTGTCCCCTATATTTGCTGACAAGGCAGAGAATAGACTTGTCAGTCCTGTTTGCTGCACAATACTCTTTTTTCTCCTTATTTTATTGCTCTTATTACTGTATGCTTTTCTCACAGATTCTCACTCCTACGGTAAAGTAGAAAAGCTGCATTTCCGAGTCATTAGACTGATAGATGAGGAGTACTTCATATTACAGCAAAACTTGTGGCTGTGTTTTACTGACGTTTTATACTCTTCCAGTAATAACTGTCTGCAGTCTTTTGAGCAAATATCCTAAAGCAGCAAAACATAGAGGTTCTCTTTCTTCAAGGTGAACAGCTCAGGGAAAGTATAATACAATGTCAGATACTTAAAAATTCAGCTGAAGGATGAGGATATGAAATGATGACAGTGACAAAGACTGGGAAAATATGGCTCAAAGATGTTTGGCTTTGTATATAGAAAGCTTTGTATATGAAAGTGGAGCTGTCTAGGAATGTAACAAGGGCCTTCATCAAAGGCTACACTCAGGGGCACTCACAATAGAGATCCTGAGGATTGTTTTAATAAGGGGCCTGTGCTTTCTGTTCCAATGACCCTCGAAACTTGACCCTGAGATGTAAAGACAGAGTTCTTGGTCAATGCCTGAACTAACCACCTTGATTGAGGCTGACTAACGATCACTTTGCAGGATTGTTTGACCCTGTATATTATTTTCTCAGACTTGCACTGAACTGAGAACTAGATAGTAGAAGTGTTAGTTGCGAAGCACAGCTAGTCAAATAAAAATTATATTTGCCTTCCTGTCTGTTAGAACACTTACTTGCTGCCAGTGAGTTGAACGAGATTTGACAGCAGAGCTGAGATGCCAGTGCAAAAATCCCAAATCTGTCATCTCGTTTCAGTCATAACTTTGGTCAGAAACAGTCATTATTTGCATCCAGTGGCAAGAATATATCCTTAAATAGTTGTTTCTAAGCTCTCTGTGTTCTCTCTTTGTGATGCAGACTTAAAACTGCCATACATCTCTCTCTTGATTAATTTTTGGTTTTTTCTTCCTTTAAGACAACGCTTATGGAAAGACATTACGGCAGCACCATGGCTGGGTTGTCCGCGGGGTCTTTGCAGTAAGTATTTATCCTGGTTGCTGATAGAGCTGGGAGGTCTTGTTAATGTGATCTTATGTTGTGTGTAATTAATAAACCATGTTAAAATTATAAGCATTAAAATGAATAGAATCCCTTGTCAGACCTTATTTTCCGGCTGAGGATTGTGGCTATCACTATGTTCAGTACTGGGCTTTCAGGGTAGAACCTGCTTTCTGGAGCCGAAACAGACAGATCATGCTTGAATGCACATTTTTTTTTCATTGTGTGTTTTTAAGCATAGTCTTGCAGGGCTATTAATTGAAGAAATGAGGGTTTGAGGTTGCTTTTTTGAGGACTGCTCTCTCTTTGGATGTGAGCATCCAAGAAAGGTTAGTGCAGAGTGTGTCGGGGAGTTGAAGTAGAATATATTGGCTAGAGGAAATGGTTTATTTTTGTCCAGTCTGGCAGCTCCCCCTCGTGTCTGTCACTGGAAATTATCACTGAAATTGAAAAAAGAAAAGCCACATTGAGGCGATCATGACAGACTTTGACTGGGAGAAACAGAAATGTTGGGGAAGGCTTTCTAAGGACTGTCTTGAGAATGGGACTTCAATGTTGAAGTGTGTGACACTAGGGTTGGGAGCTCCCCTAACAAACTGTACTTTATTTGGGGTTTGTATTTAATTCACTTCCTAAAAATCAGACCTCTCTGAAGATGTCTCAAACTGGGGATCTACATAGAGATAATAAATATATATATATATTAGTCTCCCTGTCAGTTAAAAATCTTAACATATGCACATACGCATAAATATGTTAAAGCTATGCAATCTAAGTGCAAAGAGGGATGTCTTAGAATGTCTTAGAAGTTTTTCATGGCTTTAGTTTGATTTCTTTTCCTGTTCTGTTTTGCAAATCTAAAAGCTTTGGTTCCTCTCCCAGTTAGCTTTAAGGGCAGCTCCAACGTACGAAGACTTTGTGGCAGCTCTGTCTGTAGAGGAGTGTGATCCTCAGGAAGAAACATTTTACAAAGGAATGCAGAGGGACCTCAACATTTACTTGCCAGCCATGGAAAAGCAGCTAAATATCTTGGACACTCTCTATGAAGTACATGGTTTGGAGTCAGATGAGGTGGTATGACTACAGCAAGACCGTGTCTTAAAACTTCAGGGACTGTGTCTGTTAACAAAGATTTCTTTTGTTTTGGGTTTTTTTGGACATTGTTTCTGTTCATTGTATCTTTTCAGGTGGGAAGGGTGTTGTGACTGTTTTGGGGGAAGGGTATGTATGATTTTTATTTTTTTGTTAATGCTTGTTTTGTGTTTAAATGCAGAGGTACTGTTTCTCTTTGGGTCATAACTATGTCGGTGATGAATGTTTTTGACTGTTTCCCTCCTGCCTGTGCATGTCCTCTTCTCTTCACCTTATAAAAGTAACAGAGCAGAATTTGGCCTTTGCTCCCGTACCTTAGGAGAGAGCCGCGTGTGGAGTGGAGCCGTTGGGACGTCAGCATGGTGCCCAGGCTGGCGCTGCTGGCTGTGGCTCTCCCATGCCCTGTGCCCACTCCCTGCGGTGGCGTAGGAGGACAGAGGTAGTGAGAGTTATTGTTACCCTGGTGGCAGAAGAGAAGGGCAGCTAAATGCCAGCTTATAAGGTACATGGTGAGTTTGTCCCTTAATTTGGGTTGAAGCTTTTTAATGCAGCAGCTCTCCAAATATTACAGAGATCTTCAGCACAGGCGTATGTGGCTGGTGGTCTGAGCTTCCCCAGGAACCAGCCTTTGAAACTAGGTGTCATGTTCCCTGACCAGCTCCCAGTACGTACCATGTTCCTCCCTGTCAGCTCCTGCCAGTAGACCACAAGAAATTTGCTGGCACAGACTGGCAGAGCCCAGCCAATTTCAACAGTGCTTTACACAAGTAATCGAAAATCATGTCCATCATCCTGGTTTATGAAGGTTTTGGTGGGTTTTTCTATTTTGGGTTTAGGGTTTTCTTAAATTCACACAAAAACGTAATACTTGCTTTTAAATTGAATACAGGTAGCAGTTTAAAAAGCAGATTTCATTAAAATCCTTCCTAGGCTGCCATTATGGGCAGAGACTTCATGAAAGTGGACATGAAATGAGTAGAGCATAGGGGAAGCTAGAATTTGTCACGGAGCCATTACGCATCAGGCTAATTACAAACCTTAAAATCTGAAATTATGTAGAAGTGACTGGAAATTAAGAAAGTAAGATTTGCCCTTTTTCCCATCTTGCTGATACTGATAAAAATGTGCTCCTTAACACTGCTGCTGTTAAAAATAATAAAGAAGTCCTTTTAGCTAGCGCTACAGTTAAGGACAAAATTCCTAGTTGTGTTGATGACTAGGAGGCTGTCTGTGAATTATTGACTGCCCATTCAAGGCATAAGCGGGTCTCTCAGTGGTGACTTAGGGCTTCAGATGGCTTTGTGCAAAGAGCTGAGTTTAAATCACATGCAGGAGGAGAGAAGACTGTGCTAATGAGGCACTTAGAATTAGTAAATCTTCATAAATATAGAAGTCAGTGTTGCCATACTCACAAAAGCAGTACTGGCTTTTGCTAGGCTAAAAACCATGCTGTCGATAAAGTGAATGTACTGCAGGCCTGCTGCCCTGCATCGCTCTGTGATGGGGGCCTCTCTGCACACCGAATACTTGATCCTTTCTAAAGAGCCTAGCATTGTGAGCTTTAAGAAAAGCATATGATGCTTGAAGAAAAGACCAAATGTCACACTTGGTGTATACAGCAAGGTACCAGGACTGTAATTAGGCATTTAAACAGTTGTTCCTGTCATCTTCTCTGAGTTGTGCCTATCAGTAGTTCCTGCACACTCCAAGAGGAATAAGAAGGTTGTGGGGGTTTTAGTTTTTTGGGGTTTCTTAATTTAAGTAGTATATATTTATGTTTGAGTACAAAGTCAAAACTTTTGACCAAAGCTCTATTCAATAATTTCACTACTTGCAGTGCTAAGAATGAAGCAGAGAGCCTTTGGGATTTGGCTGTCTGCTTCTTGTAAGCATGAATGCAAAGAAACCACCCCTGTAGTAGAAAACCAACTCTCAACCCTGACTTGGTTTCCTCAAGGTTTTCAGCTGTTATGTGGGAAACTACTGTAATAGTTTTTAGCTGAATGCTCTGGGAAGGCAATGGAGACCACATTTCCACAGAATATCAGCTGGGATATGGGGAGAGCAGGAAGAGATCCCTCTTCTCTAGAAATTAACTGTCCGATCATGAAGAAAATTGACTTCCCTTTTTGCTCTAAGGTTTTCCAGTAGCAGGAAAGCGTATTCAGCACTTAAAGTCTTGGAGGTATTTGGGGGTTTTCCATTTGTTTTGTTTGGTTTTGTTTTGTTTTTTAACTAGCAGAGAACCACTGGTTTGTTAGTAGTGCATCAGATCCAGTGTTTGATAGAGTAAGTCAGGAAGCTTTATTTCGTAGGCAGAGAACTTAACAGCTTCATTGGGCCATTAGCTTCAGCAATTATTAACTTCTACCACTCTTCTTTCTTCTAACAAATAGAGAGTGGTCCACATTGCATATCCTCTAATCAGCGTGGCATCCTGCCTTGGAGCGGGCTTTCTTGTCTTGCTCTTCTGTGTCAAGTTGGTCTTTCTGAACTCTGGAATTGGTGCTTGAGAACATTCTTAGGAGACTGGGGCTTCAGGGGACCCCTTTGTGCTTGTTGTTAAACAGGGTACTTGTAGAGAAGGAATTGAGCAAAGTCTCCTTGCCTTCAAAACTTGTATTTCACCATGCACTGCTCTTGCAGGGCATTGAGCACTTCTAAGACTTAGGAATGCCATATTTCCAGTCAAACCACCACTGAGGAAGAAACCCATGCAGCATGTTGCAGAGCTGAACTCCAAGTTATACCCCTAAGGATGCAATAGACCAGATGACAAAGTGGAAGCAAACACGCTGCGGGACAATTCACTTCTTTCTTTTCCTGTGATGTCAGTGTGGCAAGCAGAGAGGATTGCTTTTGATTTTAATAGTTGTAGAGAGCAAGCAACTAAGTTTTGGCCTTCAAATTTAGAATTGGAGAGAAGAAGGTCAGTGTTTTCTGTTTGATATGTTTGGTTCATTGACTGGTTAGGGTTGTTTGGGGTTTTGATAATGCCTGGTATTTATGAACAACTGACCTGCATACTGATAGAGGTCCATGTGACTCTCAGATAACAGCACCCTTGCTCTGTATACTTTACATGAACTGCTTTGGTTTCTTAAACTGCACTAGTCTAAAGTTTTTTGCGTCCCTTTCCTTTAGAAATGCTTTTGGCTGTTTCCTTCAATGTCTAACAGTTGCATATTCTCAGGGATTTTACTTAGCCATGGCAAAATAAGAGTAATCGCAGCCTTACCCTAGGGCAGTAAGGCTGCTTTTTGTGAAATTAGTACAGCTGAGCGTAGAACTCTGATACAGCATATGACACTGACAGTGTCTATCCAGTGTGCATCCTTGCTGAGACATGGTAAATCCCAAAGCAATCTGATAGAAGTGCTATCTAGTACTAAATAATGGCAGTCAGCATATTTGAATAGAGATTATACCCACATCTTTGTAATATAGTGCCATTGGCATTAGAGCAGAGCTCTCAATTTCAGTCGAGTTCTGCTTAGCAATGGGAGGCTTTTATTTATTTTATTTATTTTGTTGTTATTTTTTTAAAATAAAATATGTTCTGGAGCCCCCTCTGCTATTTTAAGACACCATACTCAGTTGCATATTGAAGTTCTGTGACATTACAAATGTAGAATATGAACTGGATACTCAAGTGCTTTAGTGTAAACTTAAGGAGTCACTGAAACATCCCATCTTGACACTGTTGTAATATGGGTCTCCCTTTAACAGATGCACTTAAAGTTAAGGGCCATATACCTTCACTTACAAGCTTTATGTAAATTGTCATCAAGATTTAGGTTACAGCTGTTTGTTTTAAAAATGTTTCATAGTGCGAAAAGTGTCACTTGGTTGGCTGAATGTATAAAAAGTATGCCCAAAATGTGCTCCAGTTGTTTGCAGTGTGCTTTGGCAAAGGGTTGCCGACCATTACAGAAAACAGTGTTACTACGTCTGTATGTTGGACCTTCTTATCATTATCACTTCACCTTTTGTGAAAAACTTTAGGGGACCTTAAACTGCCTTTCAGACACCAAAAAAGATCAGCAGCCTGTTCCTACCTGGCTATCTTTCCCTCTTCCCCCACCTGGTCACCACCCCTTCCTTCCCTTCCATTGTCATCTGCTTTGCTACCAGAGCTGTTGCTGTCAGGTGGAAGCATCTCTCCATAAGAGCACAAAGCAAGAAGTTTTGTAAGTGATACAAATGTAAATGTGGAAAATTAGGCCTGAATTCTTTGGCAGACAGTCAGATGGAGGATGTGCTGCTTTCCTCTGAAGTTTCTCCCTGGTTTGGCGTATTTTGCCAGGAAAAGCACACTGCTTTGAACTTTTAATTTCACCAATGAAATTTAAATTGGGACACTTCAGACTTGGCAGTTCTACCTATTACAAGTGAAAGCACAGGGATTTTTTTTTTTTTAATTGACTTATTTCTTTTCTCTTGCCTGTGTAGTACAGATAACAAAACAAAAGGAGAACAGGGTGGAAATGACTGAATTCGTGCCTCTTTGCTACATTCTGTAGCCCCCCGGTGAACAAACCCTGCAAACTACTGCATGCTCCAAGCAATATAAAATCACCCTTGTTGCGGAAGCGCTATCATAGCGCACTTACTGGTTCTGAGCAAGCCCAGGCAGTAGCTGATCCTGCTCACAGTTCATATGAGGATTTAAGCACTTGCTTTGAGGTTAGAACATAGGCGTATGCTTCACTTAAACACACGTGCACTCTCCCACTGGCATGCAGTTCTTCAAAATGTGGTCTTTGACTATCATTTTTAATATCCCTTTCTTGGTATAGGATTTCTCCCCTCAGATACTCCAAATGTGCTAGAGGTGGATTTTATTTTTTTTTTAATATATTAAACTTCCTTGGTTTTATATCCTGATTTCTACTTAACACTAAGTTTGTTAACTTTATTTTGCATTGCAGCATTTAGGGGGTCCAAAACTTATCAATTCCTTTATTTAAAGCCATCTTGAAAGTTTAAGATTTATGTCTACTTGAAGCTAAACAAGTAAATTGCATTCCAGAATATGGTGACTAAACTGAAAACCAAAGCAGCTTGCTTTTGTGGTTTCCTTTCCTATTTTCTTTTTTCAAGCCAATTTTGGGCATACATTTTACCAATGTCAAGCTGAACTTGCTGCAAGCCTTGCTTATACCTGCTAAAATACATTACATACATACTGAAATACATTTAAAGATGAAGAGAAGGTATATTGCCTCACACTTTAATTTTACTTAATTCTAAGGGCTTGTTCATGCCCCCCAAATCATCTCTTCCAGTGTAAGCATTGCACAGATTGTGCTGTCATAAGCAGTTCAGTCCAAAATACTTTGGAGTTTCCAGTCTGCACCATCTCTCAAATCATACAGCATCTGTCTCTTCTTTTGGAGCATTGTTAAGACCTTTGTCAGACTTTTATATTATTTCATTATAATAAACTTATTTAAAATAAGCATGTTTTAAAATCTTGCTTTCTCCTTGCATGGATTTTGTTCCTTTTATTATGATAGAGGTCCTAAAGTGCTCTTCAGGACTGCATCTGTTCTAGGTACTGTGTGAACAGTCAAAAACAGTGTGTTTTTGGTTCACAGAAACTACCTGTATGTATCTTTGTACGAAGAATGTTAACACACATGGAGCCTGTTTTGATTACGAGAATAAAAGCTGTGTCCGGCATATGGTTGTGGGTCCTTGGCCAGTGTAAATATGTGAAGGCTGTAGTTACGAAAGCCAGTGTGAGAGGAATTCGAATTTTAAAATTGCATGTATTAATTGTCCTTCTTTTGCCTGGACTTGAATCTCTTCTGTAGAGATTTCAAAGACTTCAGAAACTCCTCTGTGGTCATCTGGAGATGCAGATGAAGACTAGTGCTCCTTAATGAATGTGAGTGTAACATCTCCCTTGCCCCTCTCCCCGCCTTTTCTTTCTCTCTCTCTTTCTCTCTGTGTATAAACACAGCATGGACCTGAGAGCAGATCTGTGATACCCAGATGTCAATCTCTAGCAAGGGCAAGTCCCTCTGTTAAATGGCAACATCCAGGCAGAGATCGGTGAAGTGGCGGAGGCATTTTCTCAGCTGGAGAAGAGAGACGAGACTGAGCCCCTGCCTGTGCCTAACCAGCCCTGTGGCAGGGGGAGGATGCACGTATCCTGTTGCAGCAACAGCAGCACTGCTCAGCTAAAGCTGGCTGTCTCCTGTGTGATACAGGAGACTCTGAACCCTTCTAATTGCAGCAGGCCCCAGAGCATCAGCTCTGCAAAGGCTGAGAGCTGCATTTCCTTCAGCAAGGGCTGAGCTCTGGCAGGAGCCCCGAACTCAGCATCCTCTGTCTCACCTGCTGGGGCTGAGCTGGTGGATAGCTGGCGCCTCAGTGAGGGACGAATAGTTTAGAAGGCCTTCCAGGGCAGAGATCACATCCCTCTTTTACTGCTCCAGGGTTTTGTTCATCCTTTCTCCTTCCTAAGGAAATGAGCAGGTTATCAGTGGTGAGACCCTGGCAGTTCCAGCTAAATAACAACAGTCGTGTCACTGATGCTTTCAGCAGTCCCCCTAAGACACTGTCTTGGCTCTGTTCCATGGGCATGTGGAAGTAACTTGGCACATGGGTGAGCCTGGGTGCCACTGGCATGAGCTGTCATTGCAGCCATGGCGCAGATGGCTTTGGTGGCTCTCCTGAGGCGTCAGCTGTGCCGCAACAAACCACTGCGCCCAGTCCACTGCGTTACCTGGCAGCTCCTCCAAAGCCATGCTGTTACATGTCACGGTTAGATGGGGCTGCTGCTGGGGCAGAGCTCGGTGCTACGCAGAGCTGGCACTTCTGGTGCTGCTATCTGTACTGTGTTATGCTGTGCTAGACAACTGCAGCTCTGCGCACCAAAACAAAGAGGATGTATGCAGACAGACATTGAAAGCAGTACAGACTCTATCAAAACTTCACTTGTGTGCAGCATTATAATGAACTGTTTTCCTTTTCTTGTTTGAAATCACATGGTGGTGTTGTAGCAGAAAGATGAGGTTTCAGCTTTCCATCCAGGCATGCAATAAACAAATTGAACAGATGTCCATTGTCAACAGAGAAGTAGTGACTTGCAACTTGCTACAGCCATGCAGACCAACTTCTTTCCATTGGTATTTTTGGACCAGAGGAGGACAAGGGAAGTGATGGGCTCCATCATGCATCATAGTATCTGCAGACCTTCCCCATAACTGTCAGTACTTTGGAAAAACCCACAATCTAATGCCTCGAAGCCCAGCTTCTAACCATGAGCTGCAGTATCGATTTGCCAGCCAGTACCGCAGTGTCCTATTTTACAGCTGAAACGTGTCCACAGGTAAAGGGAGAGCAGAACGTGGTGGCTGTGGCCAGGAGGTCTGCGGCTGTGCAGAAGGACCGTCTGCCAGTGTCAGTCATTAGTCAGCTCTGTAAAATGCTCTGCTCTCCTCAACAGCTGAACATGGACCAGCAGTGCTGCACAGACGAAGAGAAATCCTGTGCACAAAAAGATACCTCCCAGGCAAGTGTCTCCTCACTACAACATCCACTAGTTAAAAAACCCAGATCTGTTGCCATTACAGGATCCCAGATGAACTGCAGAAAGAGCCCCAGCTAAAGCTTTGACAGAGTTTGTGATGTTTCTTCTTGAAGGTCACGGGCTGTGATAGTGGCTGCTAAATTCCTGTCCCCACAGGAATCTAGATCCATGGTTCAAAATAAAAAATGGTGTGCTGAACGTGTAGGGTTCATAGGAACACACAGGTGCTGTTGTTAAAACAGGAAGCTCAAAGGGGACACATTAAAGACTCGGCAATGACCAAAATATCAGTAAATATTTTTTCTTAGGGTTCCTGTACATGGAAAAAGACTATGTTTTCTGAATTTAAGGGGGAAAGGCAATGCAAGCTCACAGCACCAAAGCTTTGGCCAGTGCAACCAGGCAGAGTGAAACCTTTACTGGGCTGGTTTCTTTTTAGTCCAGCTGGAAACCCTGTTATGCTGGGGACAGTGTGGGGCTTCCGTGCAGTTTTGCTGCCCTATAGGAAATATAAAGCTATTGAGATGCAGAATATGGGACCATAATTCAGTGCTACAGCCTGGATGGAGCACAGGTTCTGAACCAGTTTAATGTGTTTATGCAAAGCTGTTACCTGAATCGGAGGCATGAGGAGAAAAGTTTTCTTTATCTTTTGAGGGCTGGTAGACTAAGTGTCAAGCAGATGTATTAGGACTGAGAAAAGGAAGTGCAGGATGTACTACAGTACGTCAGACACTTTCAGGCATTGGTGCAACCAAGCTAAGTGTCTGTCCATCTGGAAGATTTCATCCAAGATGGTACCATGTATTTTTTCCTAATATTTCAATACATTGACCCAAATATATTTCTTAATTAACATATATTTATTCCCCTCCTTCTGTGTCTAACACAGATTTTAGATTTGTTTCTTGTGCGTTATCATTAAAAAAACACATCAGCCTGAGAAAGCTTCAAGCTTCCCTTCCCTGTCCCATGAGGAGATGGTTCCCAGCGAAGCTGCAGTAACGGCAGTGCAGGCTCAACCCCCAACACTGAGGATTAGGGAGAAAAGCTTTTCCAAGTTTTGTTGTGTTCTTGCATTGCCCTAACCTTCACCTTTTACCAGCCGGTATTACTTTGCTGGTGTTCTGGCTTGCAAGGTCTGGTAAAATTTCTCCAGGATCTTTGACTGCTTACCCACCACTTCAGCAAGGCGTCACCATTAGTGCAGGAGTTTCGCCTGCAGCAGGAGGAGCTGAAATTGGTGATACTCGTGTCCTTCCAGAGCTGTCAGTCAAGGAGTCACTGAGATGCTGCTTCCCTGTCAGGGCCCCCAACAGGTCCTGGTGCCAACCAGCAGCATTTGGCAGCTTCCTAAGTAGGTACCTCACTGCTTTCAGCAAGATGCAGTGATGTGTGGCCTGTGCAAAGTGCTGCAGCGATGCCAAAAAGAGAACAGGTCACTGCTTTCTCAAAATCAAACAGATCTGAGACTTCAAATGCATTTGCATCTATTTGTCTTCATACCAGGGCTCCTGCTCCAGCTATGGCTTTCCGCCAAAATAATTTCCAATCAATTTAGCATCTGTTTCCAGTGTTGGTATCGCCAGCTCATCTGTAGTCTTCAGAGACCAGACGTGCCTCACATAGTTTCCTATAGCTCATAGTTTTCCACTTGCTTCCTTGCTTAGCAGCTGGCACCCACCCTCCTTCCCGCAAGCGAGAGGAAGCTGTGTGCCGCGCAGCCCGCGCAGCCTCTGCTGTGTTGCCACCGCTCGCCTACCCCGCTTTCTCCCTAACGTCACATTTGAGCCGCGGTCTCAGGTATTCAACACTCGCTGAGCCCAAGGCTCCATGTCCCACGCATCGAGCAGCAACCAGCCTTCCCCAAAACAGCAAAACGAGGAGGTTTGCCCCACAGGCAGGACACACCTGCGCGTGCAGTGGGGTGCTGCGGATGTCTCTGTGAAACCCGTGCCCCTCCGGGCGCTGTGGCGGCTGGGAGAGCTTTCTTGCCAAAACCACGGTGGGAGACTGTCCTGGTTTCAGCTGGGATAGAGTTAACTGTCTCCCTAGTAGCTGGTACAGTGCTATGTTTTGAGTTCAGTATGCGAAGCATGTTGATAACACTGATGTTTTCAGTTGTTGCTAAGTAGTGTTTAGACTATAGTCAAGGATTTTTCAGCTTCTCATGCCCAGCCAACAAGAAGGCTGGAAGGGCACAAGAAGGTGGCACAGGACACAGCCAGGGCACCTGACCCAAACTGGCCAAAGGGGTATTCCATACCATGGGATGTCCCATCTAATATAGGAACTGGGAAGTGGGAGCTGGGAATTGCCGCTCAGGGACTGGCTGGGTGTTGGTTGGCGGGGGGTGAGCAATTGCCCTGCGCATCATTTGTACATTCCAATCCTTTTATTACTACTGTTGTCATTTTATTATGTGTTATCATTGTCATTATTAGTTTCTTCTTTTCTGTTCTATTAAACCGTTCTTATCTCAACCCACGAGTTTTGCTTCTTTTCCCGATTTTCTCCCCCATCCCACTGGGTGGGGGGGGAGTGAGTGAGCGGCTGCGTGGTGTTTAATTGCTGGCTGGGGTTAAACCACAACAGAGACCCTCGTCAAGAGCAAGAGGCACACTCTTCCACGCAGAGCTTTGTTCTGCTGCCCCTGGCCCTCACGTTGAGGCACCGCCAGTCCTGCCTCAGCAGATGCACCAGCCAGGCACGGGGACCTTCTTGCAGGCGCTTGTCTGTAAGGAGTCATCCCCTTGTCGGGGACATGCTGAATGTCCCAGTCACACATTGGATCTGCAGGCGGTAGAAATAAATGGATGCCTGTAAAGTTGAAAGCAGATGACGTTTATTGCTCAAACACACACATATTTATAATCACATATTCTGCAAAGTCATTGTACACGTGCACAAGCATAAAATGTGATTGATTATATCAACTCTGTACACACGCATAAACATAGGACATAATTGGTTATACCAACTAAAACATGCGAAACTTGTCTCAGTCTAATTGGTCAAGATAAACTGCCGAATTGAGGTTCTTTGTGCCAAGTTCCCTTTACCGTGGAATGTGCACCTGTGTTCTTCTAATTGGCATCTTTCTTTTTTTGTCTTCTTGTTTATTCTGTTCGAGATCTTCTAAAGGCGTCTGGAATGCTCTTGCGATCGTTAGCTAAATATGTGTCCACAATTCCCCCTTTTTTGTTTTTCGTCAATTAACACCTGCTGTATTGCCCTTTGCAAAGATCTATGAACACAATTAATTAAACACAGTAAAAGCAACATTATACCTAATAAAATACATAAGAATAAAAGAAACCCCGATTTTTGACAAAGATACAAACCAACTCCTAAGTCCCCATCCTGCAGCTAAATGCTCTAAGCCGAAATGACAGCTTTCTTAATTGCGTTAAAGCTCTTGCAGCTCCTTCTTGCCTCTGCAGTTGTGTTATCTTGTTTATTAATTGCTCCACTGTCCAAGTTCCTCATGTCCGTTGTTTTTCTGGTGGTTCAAAGTCTGTTCATACTGCAGCTGTCACATACTCTGGCCCACTCATGCTAACTGCGGCCTACTTATGCTAACTCTAAATAATCAGGCTCAAAGAAATGTCCCCCATTTTCCATGAAATCTCCCACAATTCCCCCTTTTTGTTTTTTGTGCAAGCCAAGTTACATGAAATGCTTTTGCAATCATACGTTCAACTATTTTTATGATACATGGTACAATCATTACAACTGCTAATATTACAATTAAAATAACTAAGCCATGCATAAGCAAATCTTTCAACCATCCTGTAATTCCCAAACTTGCTAGCCATCCACTTAACCCTGTGTCAGTTATCGTGAGCCTTTTACTCTGAATCATATTGATATCGGGTGTTAGTAACATAAGTCGTCCGAGGCTACATGGCCTCCTGTTAAGTTTTGCTGGAATTCCCCCCCACGCTCTATCCCCACAAATTAAAAACATCCCCGCAGGTAAAGCAGCTGGAATAGAAAAAAGAGCATGATATTCTGGAATAGATATACTTACACCAAGCTGTAGCATTTCTATATACAGGCAAAATAGCATTTACATTCTGACCCTTTCGAGTGGTGTTATAGGTATAATTAAACATCACATAGGCATTCACGATGACTGATCCTAACAACTCTAACTCTTGAGGTTCTTGCATTACTTGAGGCAGGTGTGCATACACACCGTCCCAATTATCGACACAGGATTGTGGGTTATTACAAAGGGAAAATTCAGGCATCGGATCTGTCCAGGTGGCTAGAGGTAACCCCACCAAACAGGTAGAAAAAGGGTTTTCAGGGATAGCGACAGAAAGACATATAGCTTCTTGATGCATTATGTTCGCCAAAGTTACCCATGCATTCTGTTTTGGTTGTTGGATCATCCATTCTTCACTTATGTGTGTCACCCATAATAAGCTGAATGCAGCGAGGAGTCCTTTTAGGTTCAGCGTTTTTCCAAGGATGTAACGACTGTCCAGGGTTTTACCCACTTTGCTGGTACCCATCTTGTTCCGTGATCTGTAACAACATAAGCATAACCTCGTCCCCAGGTTATTAATTGAAATGGTCCTTCCCATACATTTTTCTCAACATTTTTAACCCTAACTTGAACATTGCTATTAATGTCAAACAAATCTCCTACCATGCCTTGCACATGTTTTACAATTGGTGGTACACTTTCGCCATCTGTCAATCTCAAGTAATTCAACACATATACAACTTTGTTCAATCGTTCGTGAGGAGTAGCCATCTGCTCTCCCCCTTTTTGTTTTTCCAGTTGGCATTTCAAAATCTGATTCATGCGTTTTACAATTGCCTGGCCTGTAGGGGAATGTGGTATACCCATGGTATGTACAATATTACCCCATTGACTAAAAAACTTTTGAGTTGTCTGTGCGATGTAGCATGGCCCATTGTCAGTTTTTATCTGAAGTGGAATGCCGTGTGCTGCAAAAGCCAAACGCAGGTGTCGCTGGACATGTCGACTTGTTTCTCCTGTCTGTGCTGTTGCCCATACAGCTGCAGAAAAACAATCCACAGACACATGGACATATTTCAATTTACCAAACTCAGGTACGTGTGTTACATCCATTCGCCACAATTGTAAAGAATTCAAACCTCGTGGATTTACGGCTCCAGGTGAATTTGTTCCCACAAGTTGACACTCAGAACATGTCTGTGTAATGGCTTTTGCATGTCCAATGGTTATTCCAAATTGTTTTGCGAATACCTTTGCTGATGGATGAAAAAACCCATGTGAGATCCTAGCTTGCCCTAGCTTATCTGGTGAAGGTCCTGTCCATGCATGAGGCACCAACTGATCTACTGTTGTATTTCCTTGTGCTATTTCTCCTGGCAGATTCATGTGACTTCGAACATGACTCACAAAATAGGTGTGTAACCTGTCATTTAACAGGTACCACAGTGTTCTAAACTGTTGGTATAAATCCTCTTGTTTATAGTGTTTCAAAATAGCTGTTTCCATTCGTTGTACTACCCCAACAACATAAAGCGAATCGCAAATAATATTTATGGAAACATTCAACCATAATTTAAATGCTTCAGTTACAGCTTGCAACTCTACTTTTTGCACCAAGCCTTCACAATGAACCACGTGAGTCTTCCATTCATTGCCTTCTCTCCACACTACACCAGCCTTTCCTGATTTGCCTCCTCCATCAGTAAATGCTGTAGGTCCTTTAACAGGGTGCTGACTAAGTTTAGGTATTGATTCTAGCCCTGTGTTTTTCCAAAAGGTGAACATTTGATGACTCAGGTAGTGAATACTTAGTTTCCCTGTGTAGCCCTCTATTGCAGTTTGAAGTGCTACAGAATTCTGCAAATCCCATTCGCAATAACCTTGTTGTAAGGGAATTAACAATTTCCCTGGTTCCTCACCAGCTATTTCAATTATACATGATCTTCCTTTTATTATTAACAATGAAAACATTTCCAGTCTAGGGGTAATTGTCTTTTGGGGCTGGAATGGTGCAAACACCCATTCTAAAATTCGTAAAGGATCTTTTTCAGCTTCCAACCACTGCAATATAATAGCATACGGATGTTGGTCTTGATTTCTGATCTCAATTGCAGTTTTTGTGGGAAAATAGCTGTTTGCATAATTTTCCAACCCAAATAATTCCAGGGAGATTGACATTGAACCTTTTCCAGTGCAATCTGTAGACCTACTTCTTTTAGCGTAATTGTTAACTCATCGATCAGTTCAGGTTTATTTAATTGGCTTCCAGCAAGCAATATATCGTCCACATAATGATATATTATATACTGAGGCCATTTCTCTCGTACTGGTTTTAATGCCCAATCCACAACAATTTGACACATCGTTGGGGAATTTTTCATACCTTGTGGCAATACCATCCAATGATATCGTTTCATTGGTTCAGCTTTGTTAACAGATGGCACCGAAAAGGCAAATCGTGTTGCATCCTGTTCAGGCAAAGGAATGGTAAAGAAACAGTCTTTTAAATCAATTATCAAAACGTCCCAGTCTCGTGGAATCATGCTCGGAGATGGCAACCCAGGCCGAAGGGCTCCCATGTCTTCCATAACCTCATTTATTTTTCTTAAATCATGTAAAAGTCTCCACTTTCCACTTTTCTTTGGGATTACGAACACAGGTGTATTCCACGGACTCGTTGTTGGTCTAATATGTCCCTTTTCCAATTGTTCCTGTACCAGCTCCTGCAGTTTAGCGACCTTTTCCTGGGTTAGCCGCCATTGATCTACCCAAACCAGATCATCAGTTTTCCATTTTAATTTAAGGGTTGGTCGCTCTTCAATGGCCGCTCCACAAAATGCTTAGGATTGCTGACAATGGTACAACTCATCTGCCCTAATACATCCCACCCCAACGAGTTAACTGGTATAGGAGCAATGTAGGGACGCACTGAGCAAACATAATCATCGAGATTTTTGCATTTTAATGTTACTGTGCTTTGCATGGTGGTTGATGTTCCACCCATCCCCACGAGTCCATGGGCTGGATTGACCAGCAGCCAACTTGATGGCCAGTCTTTGCTTGAAATTATTGCCACACCTGCTCCTGTATCAACTACTAGCCGACAGGTCCAGAATTTAGGTTGATTTTGAGGGTGTAAAAACTGAATTTGCAAAGTTGGCTTTCTTTGTCCAGTACCTAGAGCCCAGAAAATCTCCGGTTCTCCCGTGGAACCAAAACCCTCTGTCCCTCTGTGTTGTCTTAGAGCACCGGGAAGGTGCGCTTGAAAAGGAACGAGTTGTGCAATTCGGCTTCCAGCTGGAACGTTAACCAACCGGTGGCATAGACGTCCGTACCGCGACTTGAATCTGCCCTGTGAAATCAGAGGCCGTTCCTCCCGGCAACACAGAGGACCCTTCCCTAGTTGTTGATGATCGTCCTGCTAACAACGCCCTCAGCCCAAACCCGGCGGTCCACACGCAGCTGCCGGAACGCGCCGCGCTGCACGGCGGTCCCCAAGAGCGTTGTTTCTACCGCCGTGCCCAGGCGGCTGCGGCGCC